CAATGCTAGAAAGCATGAAAGGAATCATAGCATGAAATCTACTGTAAATTATAGTCTAATCCAGTAGTTTTGTAGGGCTGGTAGTTTTTATTTCCAAGATACAATGAAACATTAGCTTTATTTTCTTCTGAGCATGAAAAGTAAGTTGGCACATGAATTTAAATTTTAAAATCAACTATTTAGGGGCTATGAAATGGTTACTTTGTTTTTATGGTTCCTTGACATTTGTTGCCATCTAGTGTTCCATTTTGCATATTGCATACTAAATAAGGAGAAAGAATTATATTTGTCTACATTTATAGTGGCAGTGAAAACATCTGAGGATTTTATAATAATATCAATCTATAACTTTAGAAAATATAATGATGTGCATACATTCAGTTATGGAAAACTGCTCTGCCACTTTCTAGGTCTGTGATCTGGACAGTTACTATAATGTCTCAACCTCAGTTTCTTCAACTGAATAATAAGAGCCACGTAAATTTTAGTGAGGGTGTTAAGTAATCTAATGCTTACAAACTATTTAAGAAAGTATCTGATGCATAGTAAATGCTCAATAAATGTTTTCATTGTCTTTGAAAATTATGAGTTATTACAATTGGCACTAATTTTAAAAGAGAAAAAAAAAATGACCTGGAAGTGACAATTGAAAAATAAAAGCTTTCATAGTGTTGTCTTAGAACAGCTATAAGATGAAAGTGTTATCAAGGCCTTAGACCTGCCTCTTTCTATTTATGGAAATATATGGAAATTTCCTTCTATTTAAGGAAAATTATGACTTCAGCATGAAGTTACCTTTAGCAAGTTATAATAAGATAACTTGCTAAAAAAATTATTTTTAATATAGCAATCCATGAATAGATTGAACAAATATCCCCGATGTTTTTCCCTTATAGTTGTACAAATTATTCTTTTCTTGTAGTACAGCAGAATCAGAAAGTCAAAATTAGAAATCTGAATTGAAAAAGAAAATAAAAATGCATTGAATATTTGATTGCAGGCACAGTCAGAAAATAATATTTCTTGATATGTATATTATCTTTCATCAAAACATTTACAAGTCAAATATACTGAAAACAGGACTTAGGAGTATACCAAGATTCTAGTAAGTTTTTTATAAATTAAAAATTAATTGTTTGCATTATTGGTAAGTGCTTAAAATGTGTTCATAGTCATTTTTATTCTGTAAGCTTTATTTTGTAAACATACATTTTTATAAGTTTTAAAATTTGCATGCATAAGTATGAACTCTGTATTTCTCATGAAATGTTTAATTATTTAATCACTAATTTCATCACAAAGGTTACTAGAAACCTAATCCTAGCAATTTTGAAGGACTTTTATGTTTCCTAATATAGGTTTCCTATTTTAAAAATTGAGTTGACTATATGTTTTAGAAAATGTTTCGAACCCACTAAAGATATTAAACATAGTCTTTGGTTTACTAAAACTAGGACTAGGGATATCAAGTCCCTTAAATAATGTTTTTAAAAATGTGTTAATGTGGCCAGCATAAAATGACCGCAAATAAAGGAATTTCCTTTGAAGACTGATTATATTGGGTGGGAGAAAAGTATAATTCCCTAGTTTCCTAAGACCTACTTCTATTCCCACCAAGAAAGGTAAAGGGGAAAGCTACTGTCTTGGGAACTAATAGAAGAAATGACAATTGCAGGCCCAAAATTAATGGGTCACCCAAGAATATCTATCAGTTAATTTTAATTGCCCCTTTATTAACCCAGGCTTTGAGAATTCAATTATGCTTTTACTGAATGCTTAGATAACTATAATCAGGAATTACTGAATCAACTTGAATATATTGTACACTCAGAAAGGGAGCCCCGGAATTTAGTGGAAATAATGTACAAATATTTGTCTTCCAGATTTTGCGATCCATTGTAAGAAAGAGATCTTAAAAAGATCAATTTTTGATTTTGGTATTTTCTTTCTTATAGTTATTCTTTTTCCTATTCCTTATTTAAGTTTTCTAGATTCCTGCTATGAGTGAGACCATCTGGTATTTTTTTTTCTTTTGGCTTATTTCACTGAGCATGATCCCTTCCAACTCCATCCATGTTGCTACAAATTGCATGTGTTTATCTTTTTTGAATGCTGAGTAATATTCCATTGTGTATATGTACCACATCTTCTTGATCCAGTCATCTATTTTTGGGCATTTGTGTTGTTTCCAAAGCTTAGCTATTGTAAATAGTGCTGCTATAAACATAGGGGTGCAGGTGCTCTTTGGAATTGATGTTTCTGCGTCCTTTGGGTAAATAAATACCTAGGAGTGGAATTGCTGGATCATATGGAAGCTCTATGTTTAGTAGGTCCAGAAATCTCCACACAGCTCTCCATAGTGGTTGGGCCAGTTTGCACTCCCACCAACATTGCAGGAGAGTTCCTTTTTCTCCACAACCTCACCAACATTTGTTGTTGCTAGTTTTTTTAATATGTGCCATTCTCACTGGTGTGAGATAGTATCTCATTGTAGTTTTGATCTGCATTTGGGGGTGGGGTGGGGAAAGGAGGGCTTGGGGTCAAAATAAGGGGGTTGTAATTGTATGGGGAATATAAAATAAAATTTAAATTAAAAATTAGTAGTTCTTTAGAAACTAATTTTTGGCTAATAAATTAATCTGTTAATAAATAATAAATTAATGATTAAAAAAGATCAAATTTCTTTTCTAATTCCAACTGTGATTAAGCCTTAACATTTTCTTCATTGTGACTGGACATACAAAAAATAAGTAAATGCTATTTTATAAGGAATCATTAGTCACACACCAATGCTCATTAGTAACAAATTTTATTCTAATCTTTTTATTTAGTGATTCTTTATTGAATTTCATTTACTAGCTATCACCTATTAGTGGTGCAAACCAAGGTTTCAGGTATAGATTTGTTCATTGTTTTAGAATTTATTATTTATATTTTTTTCTTTATATCGTCTTGGCACTAGGCCTTTTATCCAGTCATCATCATCATATACTTACTGTCTTTGTTCTACAATTTATTGAATTCTTTGAATTGATCACTTTTGCCCCGATCTTTTTGTCTTTCAGCCACCCCTTCTACTGTTCCTACCCTTAACAGTGTTGACTCTTGAATTTATGTTCAATTAAAACCTTCTGACTACATATGTTAGCTTATATTCAATAGTCATTTTATTCTTTCATACCAGTAGTATTCATTATATCAGTGAAATTAAGAACACTGCTATTTATGTTCATATAAAATATTTTTCACAGAAACAATTGTATTTTGAAGCACAAAAGTCTTTAATTTGTATTTCAATTTCCAAGGACTAAAATTATAGAAAAGGGGCCTCCCGGTGGCGCAGCGGTTGAGCGCTGGGTTGCGAAGCTGCCCGCGGCCTCTGCGGCGCCGGTTCGATCCCCGGCTGCTTCCCGGCCACCGGAGGAGGGTCCCGCATGGCGCGCAGACCTCTCCTGCCGCCCGCTGCTCCCCTCAGCAGTGTACTTAGGTCCTTCTGCCTGCTCTGCTCCCTGCTCTGGCTCTGGTGAATTCTCTCACCCTCCCGCGCTTCTGACTGTACCCAGTGCATGTATAAACAAAGAAAGAAAGAAAGAAAGAAAACATGCCTCTATAAAAAAAAAAAAAAAAAAAAAAAAAAAATTATAGAAAAGTATGCTTTTTCATCTCTTTTGAAATCTAATTAAAGATTTGTCTTCTAAACATTCTCAACCAGAATTGGACTTGGGATTAATTCTCTAAGAGAATTATTTTTTAGTCATTGTTTTTGCTTATAAATTAATCTGAGACAATTGAATTTTAAAACCTCATACCTCATGTTTCTCATGTCTAGTAATACAGAAACTTTCAAAACGTGTTAGAGGAATTTGGATTTAATGCTTTCCAGATGAAGGAGGAACACTCACATATCCCAGATTTATTGTCTGTATTTATTATAGCTTTCACCAGAGGGAAGCATAACTATGCATAAAACTCAGTGCTTAATAAGACCATTTGCATCTCTGGTAGCAACAAATCTGTCAAATTTGTAATCACACAGTATATAAGTCACATGAGACTTGGATTTCTTTCTAACAATTCAGGGGAAAATAGAGGTTGGGTGAGGTAGCCCTCGAATAAGATTAAGACACCAGAGAAATGACTCAGATCTTCTTTAAGTACCTTAATTTGATGGGGATTTTTCCTTATAAGTGTGATTTTGAAGTGACAGTTTATTATTAGAGTATTGTAAATTTAATCAAAAGGAAGTCACAGATTTTTTTTTTTTTTTTTACTTACAACATAGAATGGAAAATTCAAAGTACAGGGCAATTAGGACTTTTAAATGATCAGAAATAGCAGATGAAAAATTCTCATTTTTCACACTAGGTAGTAAATACTGTTTTGAATAAATACTCTCCTTATCTAAAATACTGTTTTGAGTAAATACTCTCCTTATCTAAACATTTATTAGTTATATATGTAAGGGGAGTGAACTAAATTAGTATTAAATAACTATATATTTGTGCAGATATGTATATTACATAATGTTAAAAATAGATACCTATGTGTTATAATACATTTGCTATTTCATTTTAAAGTTTTGACAGTTATTCAAAATATTCAAATAATTTTAACATTGAGCAAATAAAAATTCAGATAAATTGGATACTTATGTGTTTCATATTGTATAAACATATACATAATTGAAAGTACTAGAGTACTTCATTTTTCTCATTCCTTTTCAAAATTCTGATTCATCTGTGCCTCTCACAAGATCTAGTATCTGAATTTTCTTAGTTGATTAGTTAATACAGCCCTAATTATGAAAAGTGAATATGTAAATAAATGTTATCTTTGAATACCGTTTTAGATCAGTGAGTGGGGTTGACAAACAAATATAAAATTATTTCAATGGACATTGCAGGAAGTTTTAACTATTTTAATAAAAGTAAGGATTAATTGTCTCATTTCCTCTTATTTTTCCCCAAATTCCAAGCTCCCATTTCACTCTGTTTTTGCAGGCTTTAATGCAGTGTAAGCAGTTGAAGAGTGAACTTGAGAGACAGACAGAGCGACTTAAAAAAGAACTTGCATCTCAGCAAGAGAAAAGGGCCTTTGAGAAAGAGATGATGAAGAAAGAAACTGAGAAAGAAAAGGAGGACATGGGATCAAAGGTACTTAAGAATTTAGTGTGTTATCCACCTTGCAGAAAAAAATGTTTGTGGTAATGACATTAATGATTTTCTAGGTTGCAATTCTTGAAAGAATTTTACATTTTAACACCTTGTCAAATTTCTTATAACTAAGAGCCTATAAAATATTTCTATTTTTCATGTATTTCTCAATAAAAGTTATATTGTCTGGCTTCCTCAAGTAAAATAATCAGAGTCTTATTATGAAGTTATGATATTTACTTTGATCATGGCATTCTTTTTTTTAAAGATTTATTTATTTTTATATAAGAGCTGGGGTACAGGCCAGAGGCACGGGAGTGTGAGAGGATTCACCAGAGACAGAGCGGGGAACAGAACTGGCAGACTGATGAAATACACTGCTGAGGGGAGCAGCGGGTGCCACAGGAGAGGTCTGTTGTACCATGTGAGACCCTCGCCAGCCAGCCGAAATCAAACCGGCACTGCAGAGGCTGCGGACAGCTTCACAGCACTGTGCTCATCCGCCTGCGCCACCAGGGGAGGCCCGGTCATGGCTTTCTGATTGATTCCCTCTCTCATGTTTGTCAGAGGAGAGTAGGTGGTCTTCAGATACTCAGACTTTATTTCAACTTCTGTTAAGTCAAGGAGAGATTACTACACATCCCCCGCTTCATCCCTGGATTAATTGTCAAAAATAAATCATTTGTAAGAAACTGAATAACCACATAGAAGAGATTATATGCACTGTGCAAAATTAGTTCTAACAAATTACATTATAAATAATGACTATAACCAGATGAATAATTGGAAGAGAGAACTGAAGGGCAAAAGGAATAAGTGACATGAAATGGATAGTGAAAAAACAGTAACAAACTAGAAAACAGAGTTGAGTGGAACCTTACTTTAAAGTAGGCACAACCTTGCTTTAAAGTTGATTCATATGTGGTCTATGAAGTAACCAAAGCAACATATTTTTAAAAATAGGGCATGTAACCTAAATGCTGTGTAATTATAATATTCCAGTGATTATTAACTCATTTAGTAAGTAACACAGGCTATCTTCTATGTGCAAGGTAATGTGCAAGTCTGAGTATGTGTAAAGAAAAGTCACATATTAAGCCCAGTGAGTTTTTTTTTTTATTAAAGATTTATTTTATTTGTTCATGCATACAAGGACTAGGGTACAGGCCAGATGTGTGGGAGGGTGAGAGGATTCACCAGAGACAGAGCAGGGAACAGAACAGGCAGCTTGACTGAAAATACACTGCTGAGGGAAGCAGCAGGCGAGACAGGAGAAGTCTGCACGCCATGTGGGTATCTCCCCGGCTGGCCGGGATTGAACCCACGCTGCCGAGGCTGCACACAGCTTCACAGCACTGTGTTCAACTGCCTGCACTACCAGGGAGGCTCCCCAGTGTGTTTTAACTCTATGGGTAATGAGACATTTACTATAAGCTTTCCTGTCCTTATATCATTTCTTAAAAATTGTGCCTGTTAGGCATATGAAAAAATGTTCAATGCCTCTTATAATCAGGGGAATGCAAATCAAAACCACATTGAGATACCACCTTACACCAGTTAGAATGGCACATATCAAAAAAAAAAAAAAACTAGCAACAACGAATGTTGGCAAGGATGTGGTGAAAAAGGATGTGGTGGGAGTGCAAACTGGTCCAACCACTATGGAAAGCTGTCTGGAGGTTCCTCAGTCTACTAAAAATGGAGCTACCATATGACCCAGCAATTCTACTCCTAGGGATCTACCCAAAGGATTCAAAAACATTGATTCAAGGGCCTCCCCGGTGGCGCAGCGGTTGAGCGCTGGGTTGCGAAGCTGCCCGCAGCCTCTGCAGCGCCGGTTCGATCCCCGGCTGCTCCCTGGCCACCGGCGGAGGGTCCCACATGGCGTGCAGACCTCTCCTGCCGCCCGCTGCTCCCCTCAGCAGTGTACTTCGGTCCTTCTGCCTGCTCTGCTCCCCGCTCTGGCTGTGGTGAACTCTCTCACCCTCCCGCGCTTCTGACTGTACCCAGCGCTTGTATAAATAAATAAATAAATATTAAAAAAAAAATTGATTCAAAAGAACACCTGTACCCCTATGTTTATTGCAGCGGTATTTACAATAGATAAAACCTGGAAACAACCCAAATGCCCAAAAATAGATGACTGGATCAAGAAGATGTGGTATATATACACAATGGAATACTGTTCAGCAATCAGAAGAGAGAAACTCATACTATTTGCAGCAACATGGATGGAGCTAGAAGGAATTATGCTCAGTGAAATAAGTCAGAAGGAAAAAGAAAAATATTGGATGGTTTCACTTATAGGAGGAATATAGGGGAACCAAATCAGTGTAAAAATAATAACAATACATAACACACAAAGCAAAACTGGACAATTATAAACCAGAGACATACTACAGGGGAGGAGGAGGGCAAGGGATCAGAGGCAGGGAGGAAGGAGCACAGGAGTCTGTGTTGATGGTGCACAGGTGCATTGGTGAAGGAAATTCTAAGGGGGGTGGGGGCAAGCACATATTGTTTAAAAATGACTAATGATGTAAAAAATTAAAAAATAAAAGAAAAAATAAATTTAAAAAAATCACTGCCTGAAAAAAAAAATTGTGCCGTTAAAACCCTGCTATAGGCCAATCTAATCATTTGTATTTTCTTCCCATCATTGGTGATCTCAATTTGTGAAAATCCCACAACCTTGCAGTTGACTTCATTGACACTACTCATCGTCTTCAGTATCTACTGTTCTTTTTGTGTTTTCTAGTAACCCTCCTATGCATTCCTCTTATTCCCATTCATAGATATAAATTGGAGAGCCTAGAAATGTGGTTGGTTACAGGACCAGCACAAATACATCATGAAGCTTATACACTAGCAGGAGAAGTAGAAATTAGACACATACTTCTATAGATACGTTTTTAATTGTCATTGTGATAAACACATGAAAGTATAGTGTAGAGTACTATAAGAATATAAACAGACAAATATGAACTAGTCTCGGCAGTTGTGAAAGATTATGCTAAGGAAAAGACTTTGAAAATGAGATTTGAAAGGGCTATGTAGCAGTGTAGCAGTCATTGGACGAAGAATTGAGGAGAAAAGAGTTTCAGACCTGGGAAAACAATACTCCTAAGACTTTAAAGCTAGTAGAAAGCATCATACTTACTAAGAAGCTAGAGAAGGCCCAGATGGCTGAAACATAGAAAGTAAGGGGCAGAGTAGTGGAATATGAGTTCAGAGAAGTATACAAAGATCAAATCATGCATGGCCTAAAAATTCATGTGAAGAATTTTAAATCTTATACCAAAAGTGATGGAAAACCACTGGATGGCATTAAACTGGAAAGTGTTATGATGCCATTTATAAATGATTCATTAATAGATGATTGGAAGGAAAACAATAAATGCCTGGGATAGATGGGAGATAATAATCGCACTCTAGGTCAGAAGTGATGGAATGTTGCAACCATTTTTCAAGGACTTTTTTGAATTACTTTTATTCTCCTCAAATTCCCTACATTATTGCCATTCCCCTCATGCTCAAAAGAGATCCTTACTTATCTAACAAAGAAAATGGACACCTCTAGGTGGTACCCACCTCAACTATTTATCTTCTCCTCATCTCTGCCTTAAAATAAATTGTCACCTGCATCCTAACCCTGTCAGAATGGAAGAGGTGTGATGCTAATCTTTTCTGCTTGCTCTGGGTCCCAACCTTTTCCACCACCTCAGGGACCTCATTATCTCTGAATCTTTAATCTTTCCATCATTCAGCCTCTTATGATCAGAAAAGTGCTCTCAAATGTTTAAAGAATAGTCTTTCTTCTGATCTATTGGTTCTCCATCTTGGCTATCCAAATATCTGAAAAATTAGCATCACCTCATCGACATTCCAAACAAATGGCATCGAAATATCTTAGGGTAGGTCTGGGTATCAGTTTAAAGTTGCCCAGATGATTCCAATTTACAGCCAAGGTTGAAAGCCACCTCAGTAATTCCATAACCCTTCTTATTCTTCCCATTAATAGTCAAGTTATTAGAAGGTTTGTCCATACTTATCTTTATTTTCTTACCTCCTATTCACTCTTCATCCCATTGCATTTCAACATTTTTGTCCATAGCCAGAAATTTAATTACCTCTGCTATGTTCACTGAAACCTTCTTTTGTTGTAGTTAGTAACTATTTTTTAGTTCATATTCTTAAAATCTTTCCTTGATTTCCTGAGGCTATGTTCTTGATTTGGGGGAATGATTATGTGTGTCTTTTATGTTTCTGTGAATTTAAAGTGCCTTTGAGACAATGAGGGAGGAAGAAGTTTCTGGAATTTATCAGAGAATTATGAATTGCGATCTCTTTAGCACTATAGTGGCTTTAATACCATATATAGTGTTGATACCTAAATCTTTAGCTATCTAAATCTTTAGCTAAAGTGATTCTTAGCTATCTAGTGAGTTCTCAAACTAGCCTCACTTCCATGATCCCTCTCCCAGTGGAACCACTTACCCAACTCAGAAATCCTGCTGTTTTCTGTCTTCTCCCTCTCCCTCACCCATATGTCATAAAGTTACCAAGTTCTAGAGTTTCAGGTCCCTAGGAATTTTATATTTCCCTGTCTCTCCATCATGGTGCTCCCCATATCTTACCACTGAATGATTCCTGGAACCGCAAGTCATCTCTTTACTTCCAGTCTCACCTCCATCCCATCTGTTTTCTAAACCACAGTCAAAATGACCTTGCTAAAATGAAGATATCAATATATCAGTCTCTTACATTAAAAATCTTTCATGTCACCTTGGATAAAGTTGAATATCATTTAGCATATCATAAATTTTGTATTTTTTCTTTTATATTCTGCCCCTCCTGAGCATGGGATGTCCTCCCATCTCATTATGTCACCATCTAGGTCCTTTAATCGTATCTCGTAGTTCTCATTTTATAGGTCTTTTATCTCCTTGGTTAGGTGAATTCCTAGGTATTTCTTTCTTTTGGGAGCAATTGCAAATGGA